CGCTGTCGCTGCCGGGGCCGGCGGGGCCGCGCGGGCGGAGCGGCGCAGCGTCCCCGTCCGCCATCTTGGCGCCGCCGCAGCCGCCGCCCCCCTCGCGCCCGGCGCCCCCGCCCGCCGCGGGCAGCGCCGCCGCACGTGACCGCAGCACGTGACCGGGCAACAACAAACCAGGGCACGTGACCGGGGGCGCCGCCGGCGTCACGTGGCGCTCGTGCCGCCTCGCGCCCGCCCCCCCCCCCTCCCCTCAGCCGGGCCCGCAATGGCGGCGCCAAGTGCCTGAGGGAGCGCTGAGGGGCGCGACCTGCCTGGCCTCGCCCGGCCCGGCCGTGTGCCGCTCACAGCCCGTCCGCTGCCGAGCACTGACCGCCAGCGGCTCCTCTGCGCTCCCTGGTTGTCGGTTCCTGGCAAATGGCGGCTCCGCCGTTCGCTCCTCGTTTGCCGTGTGAGAAGCCCTCAGGGCTCGCTCTCCCTCAGGGTATCGGCCAGACAGTGTCCCTTCCCCGGAGCCAGCTCCCCGCTGCTGAGCCCTTTGCTGGGCCGTGCGGCACCCGGCCAGGGGGAACCTGGCGGGCAGGGCTGGCCCTGAGCCCGTTCCCAGGCGCAGAGCGGGGCCGGGGGCTCGGAGCAGTCTCCGAGCGCTGGGTGAGGGTGAGGGTGTTCACAGGGCACGGCCCTGCCTGCCCAGGGAGCGGCCGGCGCCGCGGGCTCTCGGCAGGGATGCTCTGAGGGATCGCCCCTGATCCTGAGGGATAACACGTCAGCTCCACCTGGGAGTCTGCATGGCGGTACTTGAGCTCCCGGGATGCAGGAGCCTTCCTGGGGGGGTCAGCAGCTCTCTAAACCACTCCTGCTTTAGGAATGGAGCTTCGTGGTGTAGGAGAGACCTGATGGTAAGCGGCGAGAGCTGGGATTTGTTCGAATAAGGGCCCCAAATTCCTTGTGTTTCTTTCCACCTGGGAGTTCGGACTGGATAGAACTCGGCCTTTTTCCCGAGACTGCCACCAACATAGTCTAAATTAAAATATAAATATAAATTTATAAATAAATATCAATTTAAATACTCGTTTGTTGTAACTGTTCAACATCACGAACAAATTGCAGAAGAGTATTAGTGGATTTAATACAGTGGAATTCCTAAATTTAGTGCCAAAACCCAGGTTAGACAGGTAGAATTTTCCCCTTCAGGCCTTGATAACCAACAGGTTTTAAAAAATCCTTGGGGTTAAAATTTTTGATACATCTGGCTCTAAAATCTCTAAAAGAGATTCCTTTATGGATAATTAACTTTATACGTGATCTTTGTAGGGGAAGGGAGGTTTGGTTGGTTTATTTTTTCAACCCTGAAAAATATGTACATACTGTTTTTCACACTACCTGCTTCTCAAAACAAGCTGCAGAGTGACCAGATCAGGAAGTTTTTATTATTCTGTGCAACTTTGTATTCAAGCATTCTTTTTCCTTCTTGCCTCTGGAAGCTGAGGCAAGATTCGTATTTCTTAAAAAGCACATGCAAGCTGCTTTTGTCAGCATATGAAGGGGAGGTGGGGCTTTAAGACTGATTTGTGTGAAGACAGTTCTAAGGAGGAAATAATCCCAGTGATGCAGATCTAGGATCTGAGATTCAAATAGAGATTTCCAGATTTTACTGCTTTATTTAAAGGCCTGTTTATGACTTTTACAAGTTGTTGGCAAATGCCTCCCGTTACATTGAAGCAGAATTTAGATTCACTCTAGGCTCTAAACAAACAGAATTGTCAATATGTGTTGGGACTGAGAGACACCTTTTTTTGGTGGCTGGGTACAGAGAACAAATACGAGATTTCCTCACTTCCAGAACAGTTTGTACCTCCTGAGCAACGCTACCCATGACATGTGTAGGCAATAGTCTGTGCCACCTCCTGCACTGCAGTTCCCTTTTAAATGAGCTCTATGTCCTGGGGCTAATCTTTGTGGTGTTTTTGTGTAATGTGTGTGGCTGCTCTTGCTCTCCTTTTTGAGGATGCTCGGGGAGTTGCCCCTCAGAAGTCGGTAGGAGGTTGTTGGGTGCATTTTGTGTTCTCCAGACACAAACCCGCAGCTGTGCTGTGCTGCCGGAGCCCCGGGGATGTCGAGGGGCAGGGATGGAAAAGGGGCACTGCTGAGTGTGGGCAGAGCCCCGCCGTGTGTGGCCACCGGAGTGAGAACAGGCGGCGCTGGGGCTGCGGGGAGCGCATTCCCTGCCAACACAGGGCTGGCACGTCCCTTTTGTCACTGCACGGCAGGGGAAAAGGGTTAAAGAGCTTCCCTTTCACCTTACGCAAAGGAATACTTGGAAAAAGAAGGGATGTCAGGAATGCTGCTGGGAGCAGCGACAGCTGTTTGTTTTTTGTCCTCCCACAGAGTACAACCTATTTAAATATTGACATGTTCTGTTATTAAAAGACTTTCCTTTCTTTCACGTACTTTTCTGGTTATTAAGTATGAATGATGGAGGTAGAGGGATTTGTAATTGCTAATTCTTTCACTTGTTGTGATGTTGAAAAAAGATTTCTGTTGTTCTATTTACTCAGAGAAATATATTGATAACGTTTTTTATCAGATTTAAGTGGTTTCACCAAGGACTGTGCTTTTCCTTTTAACATGATTGCTTTTAGTTACTTTGTATATTTTATAATTGTAGCGGGTTGTCTGAACAGTAAAAGTAGAAAATTTCAGACAATGCAACCTTGAATAGAAAATGGTGGAAGATTCATATTAAATGTCGTTGCAGAACATTATTAATGCAGCTATTAAAGCAAAAAAAAATATATATTCGTTATTCATATAAATAGTTCTGAATGTCCCCTGGCTCCTTTTTTGGTTCACACGTGGCCTGTTCCAGCCTTGGTCACATCCTGGGCATCTGTTCTCCTACAAGGTCACTGCATCTGGAACTGTATAACTGCTCACAGCATCTATTTCTAAGTGTTAAGGAAACATCAGGATTTAATGACACAAAACATCTTGGGCTGCAGAGCTCTTGCAGGTGTGGGAAATGTAAAACCAGAACTCCTAAGGCCCCAGGGGAAAGACTTCAGCCTGTGGTTTTATTACGCTTACAAAGTGATCTTTTGAAATCAACAGATCATGGGTGACACCAAACGTGTCCAGAGTCTCTGTTGGGCTGAGGCCTTGGTCATTAATCATAGTTTAAAATTAAGGTGTTTCACCTCATGGTAAAATGAGTTTCACAAGGAACATGTTTTGCACACAGTACAGACCTTCAATCCAGAGTCTGAAAGTAATTTAGCATGAGAAAGAGTATTTAATTTGATAGTAGACACCGAGTGTTTCACGTCCTCGGGTAGTTTTAATCTGTGGGACGTGACTGCTGTGCAGTTGCTGTTTGGTTTTGAGGAGCAGTGTCTGTACCCGAGGAAGCCTTCAGAGAGTGAGGCTTGCCCCCTTTTTGCTGGACTGACTGGCACACCTCTGACCTGAGACTTTGGCAAGGTCGGTGCTTTGTTCTCCAAAGTTTGCACCCTGTAATTGTTATTTCGGAAGCAATCCTTACTCTTTTCTATAATTACCCATCTAATCATCTGGTCGAAGGTGGTGGCAAAAGTTGCGAATAAAAATTGGACAGGAAATGGCTGAGGTGCAGGGCAGCCTCTCGGTGTGTGCTGACAGGTGATGGCGAGAGAGAAATCTCCGCCGCGTTTCCTTGTCCAGAGCTCTGCGGTCGGGACGGGAGCCACAGTTTCACCTTGGGGTGGCTCTGGCAACTACAGATCCCAGGGAGCACTGCCGAGAGCAGCTCGGTGCGGCGCCAATGGCAGCGGGGACCTCCCCAGCTCCGTGCGTGGCAGCTGCCAGCGTTCAAAAGCGGCGCACGGAGCTCGCTCCGCTCCGGGCTGGCGGCCGCCTGTTGCCCTGGGCTACTTCAGACTCGGAGTGAGCTCCGACCTGACGTGTCCTGTGTTCCACAGCCTCCCTGCCCGCTGCGAAAAGGCCGCTGCAGCAGCGCCCATGGATGCGATCCTGAGCTGCAGCCCGGAGGACCTGGAGGATTACTACAACTTGCTGGGATGCGATGAGCTATCGACGGTAAGAGCCTCTCCCTCCCCGCCAGTTTATTCCCACTTTGAACGGGCTCGTGTGCCTGCAGGGAATTTGCAGCTGTGAGTATTTGAAATGCCTTGTGCACCTTCTTTCTTGCCACTTGGAAAGCTCAGTTTTCTCTCCTGTGTGTTCTCCGAGCCTGGAGTAAGGCTTAGGTTGAGAATGCCGTGTAGAACAGGTCTGGATTATGGAGAGAGCCAACTGCATGTGTTTGACAGCATCCAAATAATGGTTTGGAATATATATTAATGGTTTTGGAAACTGAAAAGGAGCTATTTATGTACAAATAATACAACAAAAGTTCACAGCCTCAGGGCACTGATAATGCTGCTCAGTTTCTCGGGCTTTACACATAGAATATTTTTAAAAATGTATTCACTGGTTCAGATGAAAACAAAACCAGTATCTCTATCTTTGACCATATTAATGTTCTTAAAATACTGTTTTAAATTAAATTAAAATAATAGTTTTACTGATTTGTTTTGATAGCAGATACATGCTTTATAATGAGATTTAGCTAAGCTGTTTTTGAGTGATGTGCAGATAAAACAAGTCTGCATCTGTTAACAGTCTGTTAAAGGTGTCCATACAACTTTTTGTTGGCTAGTTTATTATGCTGATTTTTGTTTTTTAATTTAGCTGTTAACTGGAATTGTGTTTCTGATTTGGAAAAGGAGTTTTGATTACTCTGCTGTAATGAGGGATGTATTCAGTGGAGATAAAAGCTGTCTTTTACTCAGTAAATTTAGTCAGATGCTCTCACCTGTCCTAGTGGGTGGAGTATAAAGCTCAGGATTAAACATGTTCGGTGAGTCCCAGAGGGAAATGTGAAGCTTTTCCTGAGAACACTCCTAGCAGTGATCCCAGCAGAGGGCAGTGCTCAAGTCTCGTTTTCTGCCTCACACTAATTCCTTAAGGGCTTAGCAATTAATGAACAGTTCAAGTACATGTGGTAATGATTTTTCAAATTGCTTGAAAATGAAATTAAAAAGCTGGAATAAATGCTAATGGGCCCTGAAAAACAAGCTGTCAAGTACAATTTGTTGGGACAAGCAGCAGCTGTTGCTGCACTGTTTTTGACAGGGGAGATGCAGGCTGAGTGAGCCCCAGGATCACCTCCCTCCCCTCAGGACCCTGCACAGCCCTTCTGGGGTCTCACAGGAATCTGGAGCTTTACAGGCATTTTGGAGTCTCACTGCTTTGTACAGGAGTCCAACACTTGGCACAGCTGCTTTGGGCATGCACAGCACACTCCAGAGTATCCTGCTCTTGGTGGGACCTGGTTACATTTAAGCAGAAATACTCACAGTTTCTACAGATTTTTTGCTGTATTCAAGTAAACACAAACCAAGTTCATTCTTGGCTTCTGGTAGAATTGAGCTCACAGGCACCTACTTCATCTTCAGATGTGACAGGAAGTGGGGAGTTTTAATCTCCATCCTTCTTCAAGAACAATGTTATTTGTGTATAGTGGGTATTTGATCTCTTTCTTGGTAAAACACCTCACTATGTATTTTATATTAATTTCATGTATGCTCTATAAACTTCCTATCAACTTTTCTTTCTGCTGATTTTCTCCTAAGCTGAAGACTTCCATGCTAGCCTTCTGCTACATTTTAACCCTCTGTACACATTTTAACTTAAAGTTGCCCTTTCAGTAACTCAGTTTTTGGGATGGAAGCTGGCTACACAGTAACCAGTCTCACCGAGTTGTCTGTACACTGTATGTGTTTGAAAGTGTTTTACTGACTGCAGGTACACGACATTTCCACCTGTCCCTCTGGAAGGAGCTACTCAACAGAGTGAGAAGTGTAGAATTCCTAAATTACTACTGTAGACCACATTTTTTCCAGAATATGCCAACAAGATGTGTCCAGATAGTTGAGTGAACTGTAATTTTATTTTAAATAAAATATGCTATGAGGCTTAATTTTGAAGGAAGTTAGTTCAATTGTATGTGGCTGTCATGGTTTAACAAATGAGGAATTTGTATAAACAGCCTGTGTAGTATGGGGAAGAATGGTAATTATTTGATACCTTAGGGCAAATTGTGAAAGCTTAAGCTGAACTGCAATGATATAAAGAAGTTTTGGCTTCTGAATCATAAGAACCACAAGATACTTGGAAAGGCACAAGATACTTGGAAAGGCACTAGACACTTGAAAATCTAAGCTGATGCCCACTCCAGTGGCTTCCTGGTTTTTAACTGTTAACATGTCTTAGTTTTTCCAGTGGTTGTAATATTTTATGATACAACAAGCTGTGTGGGGATTTGCAATTAACTGATAAACTAATACATGTCAATATTCTAGTGTTGATTATAAATCTTTTCTACTCCAGGTCAACATTTTTTTCCCCATCCTCTTTCAAAAAGAAAATTTGCAAATCTTTTCTGTGTTTACTCACTTCATCTCAATATTTTGTTTAGGTTGAACAGATTCTTGCTGAATATAAGATTAGAGCCCTTGAATGTCATCCTGATAAGCATCCTGGAAACCCCAAAGCAGGTATATATTCTTTCCTGTGTAAAAACAATCTTTTTTTTCTTCTCTTAGCATGGCCAAGACACTAAATTAATCCCTAAAATTTTATTTCCCCTCAATATGTTTCAATCGTTGTGTGCATTGAGCACGTTCTATTTAAATAGCCAGCTTGTGATATTCTTTCTAAGATTTGCACGCTCCTCTGTGTGAGCAGGAAGACACTTGCTGGATTTTTTTCGATTTCTGTGACCTTGAATTTTTTTTCTTTCTACAATAGATCATCTTTTAGTACAGAATTTGTTTCTGGAGTGGGTCCCTTCCTAGATCTTTGGAGTTGGTTCCATGCTCAGCAGTCTTCAAGTGTGTCCATCAGTTAATTTGCTGCCAGTGAGGAGCACATAAAATGTGCTTTATTTTCTTTTAATGTAATTTAATGATGGGAAGTGAAGAGAAGCTGCCCCCACGAGGAGCCTCTGTTTGCAGAACAGCAGCTGACGTTTGTGCTGGTGAGAGGGGGCAGCTCCTCAGAGCTGGGAGGGCTGAGCAGCACCTGAGTTATTTATTTGAGTCTTTACCCATTCATAACCACAGAGAGCCCCAGGCAGAGCTCACCAAGGCTGAGCTGCACAAAAGAGCAGCCAAGTGCCAAACAGCAGAGCAGCTTTGCTTGTCATGAAGAAATGTTATATTCTCTCTTTACCTGAACAATACCTTTTTACAGTACTAGTGAGAGTTTACTTTCTGTTTTTTATTTTATTTCATCAGCTTAAAGTTTTATTAAGAGTAATTAAAGTAGACCTTTTATTTGTTGAAAAGTAGTAACACTAAAATAAGGAAACCTAGTACAGTTGTTCCCTCAGCCTGTTGTCACTTGTTTGATTTCTGGTTATCAATTTTGATTAGTGTTTGGGTATAGTGTATTTCAAAAGAACTCTATCTAATTTATAAACTAGAATACATGAATAATAGTAATAATAAAAGATCACTGTAACATAGGTGAGTCATAGCTAAAGTCTAAATCTTTATAACCCTTCCACAAATAGTAACATGCAGCTGCATCCTTAGTAACCATTCCATGAAAAATTACCCTCAGGGAAAAGTGAGAGCTCTCACTCATGCACTGGATAACATTTTAGCATATGTAGAAAACACTCCTAATAACATGCACAAGTTAATTAATCTGAACTATATTTAGATTATTTTTCTTGTTTGTCGGTTCCTGCTCATCGTTTTTGCTCCCTGCTCATGGTTCTTGTTGCTGTGCTCTGCCTCCTGTGCTGATGTAGATCTCTGTGTGTTCCTTCTAAGCAGTGTTGCTCTAATTTCCCATTTTAAGGCGGTGTCCTTTCACCTGTGTGCTCTGTAAGCTTCTCTGAACTTAACTTTAGGAGCTTCTGAAGCTGGTAGACAAAGGAACATTTCAGTCCTGATTTACAAAGGTATCAGTCCCCAGAGGTGCTGTGATCCTAAAGCCAGCCAGAGCTGTGCAAGCTGGAACCAGAACCACATCCCTTGGCCACTTGCTCCTCCTTGTTCCTTCTCCTTCACCCTGAATTCATTCCTGTGCCAAACAAGCCCTGTCTTCAGTGTCCTTGTGTTCTGTGTGGCAGTGGAGAATTTCCAGAAGCTTCAGCAGGCCAAGGAGACTCTGACCAACGAGGAGAGGCGGGCGCGTTACGATTACTGGCGGCGGAGCAGGGTCAGCGTGCCGTTCCAGCAGTGGGAGGCGCTGAGCAGCTCGGTGAGAACGGTCAGTCACTGCTGCCCGCTGGGCACCGGGGACACGGGGCTGGCACCGGGGACACGGGGCTGGCACCGGGGACACGGGGCTGGCCCCGCCGCACACACTGAGGGCATGGGTAGGTGGGAGTGCTGCTGCAGTGCCGGCTCTGGGCATGGCGGTGCACAGCGAGATCCCTGCACTAGGGGTGATAAGGAAATTCAGGGAAAATTGGAGGGCTTCAGAAGCCCAGTCATGTAGTTTAGAGTGAATTTATCGAGTTGCTGCTTTTATAGGAAGATTAAGTAATTTAAGGGCTGTTTTCAAATGCTTCAGCTCACTTTGCTTTTGTAGGAAACTTTTATTTCTTTCCAAAGTTAAAGCTGGGACCTTTTTATAATATGTTCTCCTCTTGGTATATTGCTTATCAGGTTTTCATGCTGATTGAATAAAGATCTCATTGAAAAAATCCAGAAGGTAGTTCCTTGGAGCCCTGGGCTTCCCACAGAGCTTTGGAGGGGCCCTGCTAGGCTGGTGGGGTGACCTGGGACAGAGGCAGGAGTTTTTTGGGTGATTTCCCTCCTGATCTTGCTATTGAGAAGATTTGGTAGCGTGTCCCTAGTAGAGCTCAATTCCATAACGTTGAATTATTGTTTTCCTGCCCTACTAGAGTGAATTATAGTTACAGGGCTATGTGGTCATATTTTAAGGCAGGTGAATAAAAGTTTCCTATGTCACTTCTGCCCATCTCAGTTCTGCTTAGGAGATAAGTTTGAGACACTTCAACTAGAGCATTAAGCCTGAGCTTAAATGTTTGCTAGAAGTATCCAACTAAGTTTAGTTCATTTCCAAACAGATGTTATTCAACAGGCTTTAATATTAAATCTTTTCAAATTGCCTTGCCTTCAAAGGGGACTTTGAAGTCAAAGACAGCTTTGAAAATTAACATTTCTGAAGTCACTCAAACCCTCTTTAAAAATGTTTGAATTCCTGACAGAAGAAGCTGGACAAAAGGCCCTTAAAATTCGGATCTACTTGTACATTTTGTTCTTCACCCCCACCTGACAAAGTGTCCTCTGCAGTGCTGTTTGTGACATGTAACCATGCTTTCCTCTGTCCTATTGGCCTGCAGGCTTCTCAATGTGCTTTGTTTAACCACTTATTACAGCAATATTAGAAAGAAAAAGGAATTAAAAGCCCACTAAAGCTTAGGGCTTAGCTCTTTGTTATGTTTGCATTCCTGTAGTCAATGCACTGGGCTGTCCAAAGTAAGAAGGACCAAATGCTGGAAGCTCCTGACTTTGGTAATACCAACAACAGAACTACTGAGATGTGGACCCAACAGATGGAAAACAATGAAGATGGATTGTTGGAAGGGAGCAGGGAACAAGAAGATGTTGCAATTCCTGATGATTCTTCAAAGAATCCAGACTCCCCAAGTAAGTGAAAACAGCAGTTACAGAAAACTGCAGTATCCAGGGATTGGCCTGAAATGGGGGCTTTCAGCCATGAGAAAATCTTCTCCAGAGCAGGGTGTTTGACTAGCTTTTTAAATGTGGTTTTGGTTTGGGTTTTATGCTTTTGATTACTTACTTAATTTTGAAGTTTTCAGACATTCTTTCCTCCCTATCCCAAGTTTCCTTGTTTGTTTGCTAGTAAAAGCAGCAAATGGAGGAGAAGAAAAAAAAGCTTCAATCCAAATGGAAAGTTTAGTTTTTCTGCTGTATGAAAATGCAAAGTAAAAAGAGAAGGCAGTAATTTTCAGTGACTTTTTTAAAAATCAATTTTAAAACTGTTAAGTAGAATATTTAGGTGTGAGGCTTTTTTTTATCCACTTTTCAGTACTTTTGCAAAGTTTGCATCTGATGAATTAATGAGGTCTAAAATTTGAGACTTGAAGGCTTCTTACATATTCAAACAGTTTTGTTTTTTCTAAGTAGTGTAAGCACCAGAATAAATGTGCATTTCAAAAGTGTCACCTACCAGTCAGCACTTCCTGGCTGTGGTTCAGGTCACTGTGCCTGATGAAAGCTTCCTTGGCACCATGGGCACCTTCTGTGCTGCCTGATCCTTCAGGATCCCAGGCCCATGGTAGCAGAGAGTTCTTAAACAAAGTTTAGTTAGTTAAAGAGAGTTGTTAAACAAAGTCCTGTCATTTCTCCCCAGTTGGATCAAACAGGAAATTAGGGTGAACTGTGAGGGTAGTAAAACCTGATGTAATCCCAAACATTTGTGGAATGCAGAAAACAGATTAGAAAATTCTACAAAGAAGTGTATGCCAGGCCTAACTGAAAACTTGATTTTGAAAAATGATTCTCTGTAACTTCATACTATTTGGTAATTAAATCAGCACTGTATCCTTTGTTGAACAGTAGAATTTTGAAGTAAAGAAAACATAATCTTGTTCCTTGTAATGGTGAATTTTCTTTGCAGGCACCTTCTTTCTCTTTTTTTTTTAAGTTATAATTTAATTTTCAGATATTTGAATGGGGAAAACATCAGACTCATCAAGTGCTTACTTCATTTTTCCAGTGGCATGTATTTACATTAATAAACATTAATATTATAATATATTTGACAGGGTGTGTATGCACTTCAGTGTTTATACCCAATGTTAAGGATGTTGATAATGTTTTTGTTTTGGTCCAGCAAAAATTTCTATATTGGGTTCCACTTTGAAACTGTGGCACTGTCTGCTCGTGTCTGCTGGCCTGGATGAATTCTGGACTGCCACCTACATGGTTATTTCAGCTCAAGCAAGAGATTTGAACACTAATTCTACTCATAGGATTCAGTTTGCTGTAAAAGGAAAGTCACATTTTAGTGTTAAAAAGCCCCAGATCAGGTATTTGCAGATTTATCACATCACCATCTCCATCTTCTTCCTTGGAATTGTTCAGTGTTTCTTTGTGAGTGCTCCCTGGGGCTGCCAGGGTCCTTGCTGTTCTCCTGGGGACCCTTCCCAGCTGATGTCTGTCCTGAAGGTTGCTGTTTGAGTTCTTGTTCCAACGTGCCAAGAGCTCGGTGCTCCTATTTGTCACTGCTGGGCAAGAGCACTGGAAATCCACTTCTCTGCTTACTGTTTTTTTTGGAGGATTATCAAGTACTATGACAGAAAATTTAATCGTGTGCATGTTTAGTATAATTTAGTTGTCTTTCTGTTTTTGTCCCCTCAGGATTTTCGGAGGGGAATTACTGGCACTTGCGTTTCCGCTGGTCGGGCGATGCTCCCTCAGACCTCCTGAGGAAATTCAGAAACTATGAGATCTGAAATGAGAAACAGGAGCATGACATCATCTCTTCAACAGTTCAGTATTTTTTCTTTTGCCAGCAGTTATAAGTTATTTGTGTTTTGTATTCTTTGATTGTAATGTGTTGTTGCAGTCAATGTCTGAATACTGATCTATCACACATGCTGTGAATGTTACAGATGGAGCTTTTTCTGTTCAGTAAGCAAAGCCCTTTTCAGTATTAACAGGAAATGATTTTGTGAAGTTAGCTAACATCTTAGATATTGTTTCTTGTATTCTCAAATATTGTGTAGTGATTAATGTTTCTCTCAATAGTGTGATGTTATAAAAAACATACTGTCAGTAGAACCCTGTGCTCCAGGGTATCCTCCTCAGCAAGGATCTACCAAAAGCTTGATGACAATGAACTGTAAACAGAACTGTGCTTATCTCTCAGCTCTGTGCTTTGCTTCACTTCTCCCTTGCCTTGTACTCACTGCAGTGATTTATAATGTACTCATTACAAACTTAACTTGTCGGAGACTTGTGCTCCTATAGATGAAATAAGAAGGTTCTTGTTATCCAAGGTCTCTTGACAGATCAAGCACTCCTAAAAATCACTTGTCTTCTACCTTAATAAGAACACCTTTTGCACCAGCTATTTGTTTTGGAAGGCAGTTCCAGAACTTTACTTCTGCAGATGGCAATTATTGTCTTAAGATGTATTGGTGGAAAATTGATCTCCTATGTATGTGTGCCAGCATTGTCCTGTGGCTTCACAGCAGTTCCTCTCCCTGCTCAGGTGTGCTAGACATGATTTTATCAGGGTTTTGTACAGTGAGGAATGAAAAATCAGACTAGTCAGCACTAATGTGTACAAAATCTCACATGAAAAGTTTTTGATACTTTGGGCAGCTTTTCACATTCTACGTTGTTTATTTATTTTGTGTTTGTTTTCTTCTTTGCAAACTTGGCTAATATGTCAGGTATTGACATTGTGGTTTTGTGCAGGCAGATAATTCCATCAGCAGCAAATAAAACTTCATGCGTAAAGTAAAGGGGTTGCTTTCATCTTTTTAATTAAATCCTCCACCCACCACAGAGATTCCTTTGGAATTTCTTGTTATTTGTCATCTCAATGGGTAAAAGCTTAAGGAGACCAGTTTGGAATCCCAGCAGTGCAATGGAAAGTGTAGCCTGGAAAAGTCCAGTGTTGCCCCCACATGGACACAGTCTGATGTGTGTCCCTCCCTGGAGGGATGTGTGTGGCTGTTAGCCACAGGCTGTGACCCCAGAGCTGTTACTGGAACCCAGTAACAGGGGAATCTACTGACCTCATGGCCATCAGTGTCCTGGAGCCAGCCTGCTCCACTGGGGCTGCTCCCACTGTTAGTGCAGCTTGTGCTGGTCCCAGCTTGGACAAGGTGAGTGATGGTGTTGTGCTTGTATACCCGTGCTGACCCTAGAGTGGATGGCATTGGTACCAAGAGCCAGTTTTGTAGCACATCACCTTTAATTTTACATGCTTTTCTCTTGCTTATTTTGCAGCTGAAAACGTTATACAGGCGGGATTAATAATTCTCTGTAATATTTGTTAAATGTAACTGGTTTGTTTTCTTCTAGTGCATTTACTGCTTTACTTCATACAAAGATATTTGCTCAAGAAAGACTTTGATTTATGTAGAGAGACTGTAAACAATGTCAGAAGTAACAGAAGAAAATCTTACTGTATGTGAAGGATACTAAGTGATAGGGAACAATTTTCCCTCTAACAAAAAGATGGGAATGCAGCCAGCTGGAGCACTTTGAATCAGAGGCAGCCCAGATTCTCCTGTGCCCATTTCACTTGCCGCTAAGGGTGAAAGGGAGTGGTTGAGTGGGTGATTTAGCACCTAATGAGCTGGTTTCCCTTGAGAAGTGAACATACAATAGACCTTTGAACAGCAAACTAATAGTTTGTGTCATTAAAACTGATGTCATTATCAGCCAATTATTGCGTGGTTGGTTTTGGCAAAGAACCTTTGGATGTTTGTTCTGGATGGATAATTGCAGATATTTGGAAGGCTCTTAGCCCAGTAAAAGCTCATGGTAAAAGTTGTGTTTTGCAACAACCTGCTCAAGATCAGTCCTGTAATTTCGCCCTCATGAGGAGGTCAGGTTCTAACTGGTGCTCAAGTACACCAATGCCACCGGTACAGACTTTTATTTCTTTCTCTATAAATGTTAAACTTGAAATGGTCCATTTTGCTGTATTTCTTGGGTTGAATGAATCTATTCCTAGCAGAACAGACCCAGAGTTTTGGAAAACAAGAGGAGCCTGTGCAGCCTGTTTTGCTTTTTATTCCCCAAAACTGTTGGCCAGTAACAACAGTTCACTGGAATGAGCGGGCAGCCCAGTTCTCCCTCCCGTTAGAAAGTAAAGAAACAAGCACCTGACAAATTAGTCAGTGTTACATCACTCAGGGCCCACACCCCAAGCATAATTTTCATATGTGTTTCTTTAAATATATAGTATTTTTATAAGTTTTTTTTTTGCTAGTAGCATGAAAAGATCCAGTGAATGTCCCACCTGACATTTCATCAGCAATTATGTGATGCTTTGGCCCCTGCACTGGTGAGCACCTAATAAAATTCACATGCTGAAAATTTAACTGGGGCAGGGGTGTGAGGTGGATCTCAGGCTCTGTGAAGGTGTGATTAAGGCAAATGGAGTCAGGTGTTTGTGGGTCTCAGGGCCCACTGGGATTTTTAAATCTCTTTGCAAAGGGGAAACAGCAGCAAGGTGTTGTCTGCGTGGGTGGGGAACAACAGTAACAAACCCAGGCACTATTTATTAGATTAGGGGCTGGGAGTTTCAGGCTGGAGGAGGGCAGCTCTCTGCAAGACGTGGTAAGCTCCTATTTTCTTCTTCATCTCCCTTTGTGAGTTGCTTGGGTGGGCAGAAAAGGGTCCTGAATGTTTTGGGTACGTGAGAGCTCTGATTTACTGTGCTATTATAGCTCTGAGTGACTTGGTAAGAAAATAAACAGAGCTGTGAGGTGAGCCCAGGTCCTCTGGAGTCCAGTCAAAAACGCTGATAAAACCTGGCCATTACTGGGCTGGGGAGGGCTGAGGAGCTTCCACCTGTAAGTTACAAGACAGCAGATGGAGTACATGTGTGTGGTGATAATGATGATAAAATACAGAGAAGAGTTGTTCAATGCTGTGTTTCTAGGTCTTTGAAACTACTTCAAACAGAAATGAAGCAACTATTTAGCCAGTTATTTACAGTGAAGCTGAGCAGCATGGGGGGATTCTGGACTTATATAAAATTATTATATCTCTATTTGCTGCTCCTATACTTGTGCAAGTGCAGATTATATAAGATTGTCAAGAACTAAAAGATTCTCAACCTTTTTGTTTTTCCAGTATTTGCCAAGTTGCTTTGCCAACATCTGCCAAGTGGCAGTATAAGAGTTAGTTTGGATGATGAATGCAGACAGTTTATGACTTAAAATCTCAGGCTGAGTAATGCTAAATGATAGGTAAGGTCGTTTCTTGATTGTTTGTTTTCCTCTTTAAATGAGATTTTTTTAAAGGCAGTTTATATGTTCTATAATAGAAGCAAGTATTCTGATTATTAAGAGATACTGAGTATCTTTAATTTCCTGAGCATGAACATTGCTATCTTACCTTCCCAGCAGGCTCATCTCTCATTTCAGGATATGAAAGTGTAAGCAGTGAGGCTGTTGTAAAGCTGATGAAATTACACAGCAAAAGATAAAGCCGCTCGGTGTGTTGTTGGGCTGTGTCACTGTCAGACGGGCAGATGATTATCAGTCAGTTTATGCTGGGTGTTTTATTGCAGCTCATACTCCCCCTGCTGTTGCCAATTTGTCAGCCCTTCACTAGTGCTGGGGAGGAGACTGACACATCTGAGGGGGAGAGCTCAGTTTAAGCCAATCGGAGACGATGGGGGAATGCTGCCTTGCTTTGTTTTTCCTGGTAATTAATGGCAAAATAACTTTTGTGGGTTTTTTCCCCCTCATCTCCACATTGTGTGGATGTGCATCATCCATGTGCAGAAGGTCATAAAAGGCAGGAAAAGAGGATTGAGGGCCTGCCTCACTGAAGAGTCCAGGAGGAATGAGGCAGCTTCCTTCAGGAAAGGCAAGGTTGGATGGAGCGAGTCCATTCCTTAGAGAGAAGCCTTCTGCTGACAAGATTAAATTTATTTTGTATCAGCTGTAGGACATGGGGCAGAACGATAGAGCTTTGGGCGAGCCAGGGCACTGTTTGTGGGGCTGAATGCTGAGCTTGGCAGCTGGACACTCCTGCCCTGTGTGCAGGGCCTGGGAGGTGAGCTGTTCAAAGAGCACCGAGCCCCAGCTGCCCTTCTCTCACCTGCCTCGAGGGCTCTTGTCACTGCTTGCGGATGCCAGGGCAGAAACTCGCCCTGGGACCTGCTGCAGCTCCGGTGCTGCTGTTCTTGCTGGCAGGGCTGGGGAGCAGCAGGAAGGCACGGCCTGAGGAGCTGCAGTAGAATAAATATCACGGGGCAACAAACATGATGAGGGGACTGGGTCGTCTCTCGTGAGGAAAGGCTGAGGGAGCTGGGCCTATTCAGTGTCACGGAGATGGCTGAGAGGGCACCTCTTTAAAGTGAATAAATATCCAAGGGGGTGTCGAGAAGCTGGAGCCAGGCTCTGCTCGGTGGCGCCCGACAGTGGGACCAGAAACCGCTGCACAGGAGCTTGCTGCGGGTGCCTGAGCACCAGAGCAGACTGACACACACAGGCTGTGGAGCCTCCCTGGGGGCGCCATGCCAGGGCTGTAAGGACACGATCCCTCTGTGTGCTCTGCGATCACCCCGCACAAGCCCATGAGCCGCTGTGCCCCTTCCAGGCTGCCCGTTCTGTGCCATGCCAGGCAATCGCTGTGGTGCTGCAGAGGCCTCTAGCGAGACAGGAGACGCGAGCAGCAAAACGAACACGGCAGGGAATAGGAGAGGGCCGGCGAAGAACGAAAAAAAGCCAAGCCCGTCCGGGCCGCAGCGAGCAGGGTTCGAACCTGCGCGGGGAGACCCCATTGGATTTCAAGTCCAACGCCTTAACCACTCGGCCATCGCTGCTGATGCTGCTGCACTACCCCGGCTGCCGCCTTATAGGGCGTTCCGCCCGCGCAGGCCCCGCCCCCAGCCCGCGCAGCCAATGGGCGCCGCCGGCCCCGGCCCCGCCCCCGCAGCAATGGCGGCCGCGGCTCCGCGGGAGCGGCGCAGGGGAAACAAATCCCGGTTTACACTCGGGACAGATTTTCAGCCTGGAACGCAGGGGCCGTGTCCGCTGCCGCCAGTGAAACCTGCGCACCTGAGTCTGACAGCGAGCGGGCAGCCAGGGACGCTACAGCACACAGCAGCCATCAGCTGTTGCATTAGCTTTCGGTGGCGTTAATATTTTTCCTGGTTTTACAATTTTTCTTTCAATTATTACAAAATCTCGGAAGGTCTCTATCATATGACCTTTACATGTAATTTAATTCGCCGTAGATAATTTTTTTACGTTAGCAACAGTTAATTGTGCCGGCAGTAGTACAATGGAAATTAAATTTCACTTGACTTTCTACGTGTGTTGCAATGGGTAAAAAGAATAATTTACCCTGATTTTTCATTCCACACGCAATATCCTGAGCCACTGAAGCCTGGAAACAGGCTCAGTGCTCCTTCTGTCTCACCATTTGCAATGTTGGACTTCAGTGTTCTGAATTTAGGAGCCTTGATTTCCTAGCAGAACTAAGCAAAAACGTAGGTTTTATTTTATTTCAAACAGCAACTGCTTTGTGTTCACGTATAGGACTCGAGACAAAAGGTGCAATTTCAGTAAGACATAATAAATAAATAAATGCCGAGCGGCTGGGAGTTGTGTTGAAGCAGCTCGGGTCGGAGGGACACGGAGAATCCCGGGCTGTCCCTGGGGGAAGTTGAGCAGTGCTGGAGTGACCTCCAGTGTTCTCAGCGCAGGCTGCAAGCGCAGAGCGGCTTTCAGCTGCCGCCGGTACCAACCCTTG